TGGCTGTTGGCCAGACACAACAGATCCTTGACACGTGAGCTCCACATGGAACCACACAAACATGGTAGCTGGCTTCCCTTGGCAAGTGAAATAGGGCAGCCCAACATGAATGCCAAAACCTTTCTGTAACCTAACCTCTGAAGGAGCATCCCAGCATCTTGCCCAGTTTGTGGAATCCAGTCACTGGAGGTCTAGACGCACCCAAAGGGAGGAGGTTACATGGCGATGTAAATACCAGAAGCCAGGGACCACTGGGGTCACCTGAGAGGCTGCCTGACAAAGAAGGAAACTTGGGGGCAGAGTTTCAACTTTGTGCTTGGTGGTCCAGTGTCTCCTGCCACCATGAGTGGCCAGCCTTCTCTACTTGTCATATTCATCTTGGTAAGAGTCATTCAGTTTCTAATCCCGTTTCAGAATACAGGAACCACTGTTCTGTACTGTGGCTCCCCCTTCAATTCTAACTCTGACAATTCAAAGCAGGTCCTGTCACTTACTCCTACAAGTGCTGCACAACCACATTTACACTAAGGCCTTCCCTCACAATGTTTCTTGTCTGTACTGTTTCCTGCTAAAATTTTTTAGTTTAGTTATGGCACCTTTCCAAGGTTTCCAAGGATACTGAATTCTCCTTATTATGCTCGTTGGTCATTTCAGTGTGTCATCTGTCTAACACATGGGCTTAGGAAACCATCCTCCTCCCAAAGTCAACACAGCTATTTGTTTAAGTAAGGCCCTCTACACATTCTTTAAAAGACTGTTTTGATACATGTGACAGGAAATGCTTGTTGGTGCTCCTAGCCATATAATTCAACTCTATTGTTGGATAAAACAAAGATGTTTTAATCTACACCATCAATTCCCAGGATATTTTCTGCCATGTTAATTTAAGAAACTGCTGATTTCTTAAAATAATAACAATAATCATGCCACCAAACTTGGTTCAGTTTAAAACATTACAAAACTTAGTGAGCATAACAACACTAACAATATACCTGCAATCTTAAAAGGCAGAGAGACACAGCTGATCAGCTGTATGAACTAATCACACAGACAGGATGAATTAACCACACAGAGTTGTAAACAAGTACATACCACTGCATCCCCAGCAGTGGGCACTTACCACTGTGGAACAGACATAATACTTAAGACTAATGATAAGTTAGAGTACCAGTAGTGTTTTAATTCACAAGCCAAAATACCCACTTTTGGTTTAACAATTAAAAAAAAAAATACTTTCCCTATGCCATGTATTTCTTTTTTCTTCTTCCAATAGCTTATTCTCTCTATATCCTGAGAATATTAAGGAAAGGGATAGGAGGGGAAGAATCAACAAAAACTGAATCAGGCAGCAACATATTTTCTGATCTGATACCCTGGAGTACAAAGTGTAGAGTTTGCAAATAATCACAATTCCATTTTTTCGTCTTCTGCTGACAAGAGAACAAAAAGAGAGTCGACACACACAAACACGTTAAGCAGACATATGTCTACCACATATGGCTGTACAGGATATAAGCAAGAGAAGCAGCTATCCTATACAGCACATGTAAGGCGTAGTGCCTAAAGGTCAAATCTGATCTCACCAGATTTCCAGGGGAGGCTTTGAAAGAAAGGTGATTTTCAAACATTTTAGCACTGCACTTAGGGAATAAAATCACTTACCTTGGCAAAGATACAGGATATCAAATCAACACACAAAAATCAGTTGTTTCTACATACTAACAATGAACAATCCCAAAAGGAAATTAAGAGAATAATTCCATTTACAGTAGCATAAAAAATGAATAAAATACTAAGGAATAAATTCATCCAAGGAGACAAAACACTTCTACATTGAAAACTACAAAACATTGCTAAAATAAAGACATAAATAAATGAAAAGACATTCCATGTTCATGGATTAGAAGACTTGATTCCTAACAAAATCCCTAAAGTACTTTTTGTATAAACAGAAAAATCCATCCTAGTTGGTTCTATCAATGGAAGACAGCTCAGAAGTAAATCCTTGCACATATGGTCAAATGATTTTGGACAAGGTTGCCAAGACCAATGAATGGGGTAAGTACAGTCTTTTCAAAACATGGAGTCAGAAAAACTGGATATTCACACACACAAGAAAAAAAAAAAAGGACCCCGGCCTTACATCATATTAAAAATTACCTCAAAGTGGATCAAAGGGCTAATGACCTAAAACTATAAAATTCTTATTAAAAAAAAAAAAGGATTAGTGAGAAATTAAAACCCTTGTGTATTGCTGGTAAAGATGTAAAATGGTACTGCCGCTATGTAAAACAGTATGATTGTTCCTAAAAAGTTAAACACAGAATTACTAGATGATACATTAACTACACTTCTTAGGTTATTTGCCAAAAATAATTCAAAGGAAGTTGAACAGATACTTGAAGATCAATGTTCATAGCAGCACTATTCAAACAGCCAAAATGATGGACTATTCAAATGTCCATCAACATATGAATGAACAAACAAAATGTGGTATATACATAGTATTATGTAGCCTTAAGAAAGAAAATTATGACATGCTCTAACAGTCACAAAAGAAAAATACTGTAGGATTCCACCAATAGGAAACATCTACGAGATAAATTCACAGAGACACAAAGTAGACTGGGGGTTGCCAGGGGCTGGGGAGACGGGAATGAGGACTTATTGTTTAATGCGTACAGAGTTTTAGTTTGGGAAGATGAAAAGAGTCCTGGAGACGGATGGTGGTAATGGTTACACAACATATTTGTATGCACTTAAAGACACTGAATGGTATACTTTAAAATGGTAAACCTTATGTGTATTTTACCACAATAAAAAAATTGTCATCTCACATAAAATCTCCCAAGGCATGGCAAATAAACCCAGGGTTAGTTAATTTACTGGCTTAATGTTATCAAAGATCCAGGTTCTGCCCATCTTTATATTCTGACCAAAAAAAAAAAAAAAAAAAAAGTTACAGGGCTGGGAACTAAGGTTCTCACTGTGAGATCCGAAAGACACAAATACGGAATGAGGGAAGTAAGAAATAACCCTGTGGTATTCAATTTAAATTGGAGGTATCAGTATAAACTAATATTTTAAACATTTCGTTAGAGTACTTCAATCATATACAAAAGTAGGCAGAAGAGCACAGTATAAATTCCCATGTACCTATCATGCAGCTTCCACAATTATAAATTCATAGCCAATCTTGTTTCATCTAGAAACCCATGCCACGTTATGTCATGTACATCCCAGACATCAAATTATTTCACCTATAAATACCTCACGAAAGATGTCTAAAAGACCACCATTTTCAATATAACCAAACACCATTACCAAAAAATCAAAAGACCACTATCTTCAATATAACCAAATACAATTACCATACCTTAAAAAAATCAAAAGCACTTCCTTAAGATGAAATATCCAGTAACTGTTCAAATTTCCAATTGTTTCATGTCATAAAAAATATTGAACTCTTTGAATTAGGATCCTATATAAGGCTTTCACACTAAACTGGAAGCAGGAAGGAAACAGGACTGAACTAAGGAGTTAAAAAGTCCTGAGTAAAAGTTACAAGAATTACTAGCTGAGGCGGAGACTAATCGTTCCTATGAGTGGCCACTTCCCCCTTTCTCCTTTAGTAATAATGGAACATCTGGCACCTTCACCCTCAGAACCACACACACAGAGTTTCAACAGGAAATTAGAGGCTGCATTTCTTTGATTCTCTTATACCAAGTTCTAAACAATGGGTTATGAATGAAACTTGTCACCTCCTTGCCCTTCTCTCTCTTCTCTCCCCCCTGGGTTCGAACACAGATTTGAGCCAGATCTGACCACGCACAGAAGAGCAATACACCAAGACCCTGAGCAGAACAAACCTGTAATCCTGGGTAATCTCTGGCAAAACCAGCTTATCCACTTCAGACCCCTGTGTACCACTGACAGTCACGTGAAAGAGGAACAAGCTAATTTTCTGAACCACTGTGTATGCGGGTCTTTAAAGTAGTTTGGTCTATACTCTAATGCATATACCAGCTTGTGTGACTATGAGGATTTGTCTGGGTATCCTTTTACTGGTTCAAAAAACTGGGAAGTGGTACTAACTGTTAGCTTATTGCATTTCTCTATTTTGAACAACAAGTGTACATTTAGTAAAACAAAAACCTGAAGTTAACATATATTTTAAAATGAGATGACACATGAAAACACCTGCAGAATATATCTATCCATTCAACAAATGCCCATTAAATGCCAGATACTGTCATATGCCTAAAAATGTTACAGAAGCTAAGAATGAACATCACAGAACAAAAGAATCAGGATTCATCTCCGAATCATTTGTGAAACTCACGAACTAGAAAGAAGCAGCCTACATACAATAAGCAGGCAAACAATAAACAACATCATTTCAAATAATACAAAGGATATTCTAAAAACAGGTAACATTAAATGTACATTTCTCTTGGAGTTGGAAGGGAAATGAGTTTAATTTACACAGGGTAGTCAAGATTAGGAAGGAAAGTATGTTTGAGAATAAAAGGAGCAACTTCAAAGCCCTCAAGAAAGCTCCTGTGGCTGGACCTACTAGCAAGCAAGGGGAGAATGACAGGAAGGACCCCTGGGGTAGGCAGAGGCAGCACAGCACTACATCTACAATACAAATGTTGTATTACTATTAACAGGGGATGAGTATTACTGATGGAAAACAAAGAAAGCCATTATTCCCTTAATCCTGTGTCTTAGTTTCAAGACAAATGATGTTCTCAAAGGAAAATGGGTATTTTAGCTGGCCTGCAATAAGTAACTACTTTATGCTGCTACAGACTGAATGTTGCAACAAAATTCACATGTTGCAACCTAATGCCTAATGTGATGTATTCGGAGGGAGGTCTTTGGCAGGTGATCAGGTAATAGGGGTAGAGTCCTCATAAATGGGATTAGTGTGTCCTTATAAATTAAAAGAGACCCAAGAGAAAGCCCTTGTCCCTTCTGCCATGTCAAGACAGCTGTCTCTGAAGCCGAGAGCAGGTCCTCACCATATCTGCAGGTGCCTTGATCTAGGACTTCCCAGCCTCCAGAACTGTGAGAAATAAATTTCTGTTGTTTGTTTATAAGGCACCCAGTCTGTGGTATTCTGTTAACGGCAGCCCAAAGGTCTAAGACAAATGTCTTCATTCTAAGACAAACATATGTATTAATTATTTCGGGAGTAAAAAAAGTATAATTTTTATCTAAGAAAGCTAAAGTTTTCTCTGATATATTAAGTTCTTTAAAACCTCACTGCTTTCGGCTGACTGCTTCATGTCAAAAATTTAGGTCTAAAAATGAGGGTATCTTAGACACAAGCTATTTTAATTTTTATCACTTTATTAAACGAGGAAAGAAAAGTCCATTAAAACAGTACAAAAACTAGGTGCAATGGTTCACGCCGGTAATTCCAGCACTTTGGGAGGCCAAGGAGTGGGGTATCACCTGAGGTCAGGAGTTTGAGACCAACCTGGCTAACATGGTGAAACTCCATTTCTTCTACAAATACAAAATATTAGACAGGTGTGGTGGTGCACGCCTATAATCCCAGCTACTCGGGAGGCTGAGGCAGGAGAACTGCTTGAACCCAGGAGTCAGAGGTTGCAGTGAGCCCAGGTCACACCATTGCACTCCAGCCTGGGACAACAGCAAGACACCATCTCAAAAAAACACCACAAAAACTGAAAAACCCCACAATATCAGAATTTAGATCTAAGAAAACAAATCTACTTTTATATAAATTCCGTGAATTCCCCTTTTCTACTGCATAGAAAATGACTACCAAGTGTTCTTAGATATGAATGAAAAGGAACTATAAACACTTTACTGACACACTTGTTAAACATGGAAATATAAAACATGCATTATCTTCTAAATTGCACTAAAATGACAGTAAACTAATAAAGGAAGATAACCACCAGTGTGCTAAAAAATAGAAAACTCAGCAAAATAAAAGCAAGTGAAACCTCCAAGCATGCAAAAGGGGTTGCCAAGTCAGGACATAGAAGCACCAGGTACCCTGGAGGGCTGCAGTCAGACATGAGACTCAAAACAGCTATTGGTTGAAACATCTATGTAAAGATGCAGAGAAGCTAGACACTAACCCAGAGAACAAGTTTACCGCTGGAGAAACTGAACCAGACCTAGGGATGGTATCAATTTGAGAGGAAGCTGGTGGTAAGGCATCAAATTAAAAACAAGATTAAGTGAAAGGCTACATATTAATCCATGAGTTGCTCAATGATCTTCCTGGCTCCCAGAATGTCAGCAGCCAGGCTTAAGATATGACCCATCTCATCTAGCCATCTCCCTCTGAGAGAAGACACTAGAAGTTCCTTCTAATCTAGAGACACTGACCTGAGGGTCCCTGGCTCATCACCCTACAGTGAAGCCCACCAGCTGAATATCTCTGCCAGTGGATACAACGCTAATTTACTTTTAGTATCTCATTCTTAAGAACTAACAGACAACCAAGGATCACCAGATACCAAAGTCTACCAAAAGAATGAGAAAAAAGGAACTCAAAAGAAACAGATGCTCAAATTAGAAAATGAAAACAAAACCAAAAAACTATTAATCTTCTCAAAGAGAAGATACTCCATTTACAGATGTTGCTTCAAAAACACTACCAACAACACTATTCCAAAGGGCAAAAGAGCTCTTAAAAATACCATGATAAAAATAAATGCAAGAGTTGAGAACAAAATTGAGGTAATCCCCCAGAACGTAAAATAAAAAGAAAATGGAAAACAGTGGAGGGGGAAACAAAAATAGAGGACTAGTACAGAAAGTCCAAGATCCAGATAACAGGAGTTCCAGAAAAAACAAACAGAAAAGGAAAAAATGGAAGGAAATGAATCTACAAGCTGCAGGGTCCAATAAGTACCAGTCCAATTAATGAAAAAGACCCAAACCAAAGCACGCCATCCAGAAAGGAAAAATTAGTAAACAGAATAACACTGGAAGCTAACAGACAAAAGAAATACCTCCCAAATTCTGAAGGAAAATGTTACCTAGCCAAACCTGAAAGTGTGCAAGTAGAATAAACACATCTTTTCCATGCAGGCAAGATCTCAAATATCTTACCTCCTATGAAGTCTTTCCCATGAAGTGCTGGATACTGTGCACCATCCCAAAATGACAGCATAAACCAAGAAAAGAAAAAGATACGGGATCCAAGAACAAGGAGCCCCAACATAAGAGAGGCAAAAGGAATTCCCATGATGGTGATCACAATGATAATGATCAAGGAAAATCCCAGGGCAACAGCTGTGCACCAGACTTAGAAACTGCCCAGATTGAAGCAAGTGTGTTGGAGGGATAGAGCTTAAGGCAAAAGTAAAAGTGATACAACATTTGAGGTGCTTCAATATACTAAGAGGAGATTTAGTCTCCGCAGAGGATTTGAGGATGATTTAGTGATAAGATTCACAGAAAACGAAACAAAGTACTCCAGACTGAAACATGATAGGGAATTCCAGGAAGAACATGAACTGATTCTTCTGATCATGTAGAAAATTACATTAAAAGGCTTTTTGAAAGGTATAGAAACAAAACACTGATGGGAGATTAAAACCTAAATAAATGAATAAATAAGGTATTAACTCTAAAGAAAACAATGTTATTAAGAAAAGAAAATCAGAAATTATACAGCAGCTGTATGTACAATGTCCACTACTGCATTAGTTTCTTACGGCTGCTATAACAAATTAGTGCAAATTTTGTGGCTTAAAACACCAGTAATTTTTTCTCTTACAGTTCTGGATACCAAAAGTCAAAAAATCAGTTTCACTGGGCTATAAAGTGTTGTCAGCTGGGCTGGTTCCTTTTAGAAGCTTTAAGGGGAAAATCCATTTTCGTGCCTTTCCTAGCTTCTGGAGGCCACCTGCATCTCTTGGCTTGTAGCCCTTTCCTTGCACCAATCCTATCTCTTACTTCCTCCTTTGACTTTCTGGCCTTCCTTTTATAGCATCCTTGTGCTTACATTTACAGTCTACCAGGATAACCTAGGATGATTCCCTATCTCAAAATCCTTAATTCACTCACATCTATAGGTCCTCTGCCATATAAGGTAATCATAGGTTCCAGGGATTCGGATGTAGATTTCTTTCGGGGGCCATTATCCAGTCTGCTACAACTCTGAACACTAGCTTAAACAATTAACACTGTGTAACATACTGAGAAAGCCAGGAGGAGCAGCAGGAAAAGCCTAGCAGACCTCAGTTCTTAGCTACCATTTACATCTGTGGATCGCTTTTTTAAAACAGCTATAGGGGCATATAGTTTAGAAATATGAAAATAGGCCAGGAATGGTGGCTCATACCTGTAATCCCAGCACTTTGGGAATCCGAGGCGGGAGGACCACCTCAGGTCTGGAGTTCCAGATCAGCCTTCCCAACACAGTGAAACTCCATCTCTACTAAAGATATAAAAAATAAGCTGGGTGTGGTGGCGCACGCCTTTAGTCCCAGCTACTCAGGAGGCTGACATAGGCGAATCACTTGAACCCAGGAGGTAGAAGCTGCAGTGAGGCGAGATCATGCCACTGCACTCCTGCCTTTTTTTTTTTTTTTTGGGTCTCGTTTTTTGTTTGTTTTTGTCACTCTTGCGACAGAGGAAGATTTTGTCTCACAAAAAAAAAAAAAAAAAGAAATATGAAAATAAATACCAGAATAGCTAAAAGAGTTTGGGGAAGTGGATTCAAGACAAGGATAGGTGAGAGAAACAGAAACTGTTCATGTTTCTTTTAAGTATTTTGAAACTATGGACTTTTAAAATCATGTACATGAGCTACATGGATAAAATAAAAATCAATTTAAAACAATGTGAAACTTAAGATGGCTGGGAAGGGAGAGAAACCCTCATCTGAGATGAACAGGTGCCTCAAGGCTAAGGAAACAAACAATAATGACAAAAATAAAAATTCAAAGGCAAATTACCAGCAAAAGCACACCTTTGCTAAGTATAGTAAAGTCTCAGTCTAAGCCAAACTTGAAATTCAAATACAAATTTAAAGTAACAACTAGAGATGGCTAATGCGTAATAGTATGATGTAAACTGTAGCAGTATGACGTAAACCCAAGGAGGTGTTTTATTCCTTTATAGAGAGCAAACGTTAACTGATGTGACAACAGCATAACAGATCTATTTATTCTCTCAAAAACGCTGAGTAAAAAAGTAAGATACCTTAAAATGCTCAATCAGGCCAATACAACTCTTTTAACAAAACCGCACACTTCTGAATAAGGAACTGAGGAGAATTCAGCACGTTCACTTGCACAATAACATTTGCTTTTCATTTCTATTCTCGTCAGACTCCTGTAGAAGTTTCCAAGGGCTCTACATATATTTGTCAGCCTACCTCAGACTCTGATAAAAGATTCAGGTCATCATACAAACAACTGAGTGGAAGAAACAGGGGAGAGAAAATACTTATAATGTAAAGAATATACGATTTACATCACCTTAGGTAGTAAGGGGAGCCAATAACAGGGTGTTTTAGAGCCTCAGTGTGCCTGACACCATCCCTTCGGATGTTCCCAAACTCCATCCCTACCTGCTACGAGAAATTGACACCGACACTGAAGGGTGCTTTGGACCCTCCTGCATGTTCTAGATGCACCCCATCCCACACAATTATATCACTCTTGAGAGAAGGTGCAGAATATATGATCATAGGGAAGAATAAAACACAGGAGGAACCTAAGAAAAAAGGGAAAACGAGACCAAGAAAAAAAAAGAAAGAGAGAAACAAGCTTGAAGTTCTATTGCCACACATTTTGAATTTTTGTCATTGTTTCAAAGATAGGGTCTTGCAACACTGCCCAGAGTGGAGTACAGTGGCTGTTCACAGGTATGATCACAATAGCTTTGAACTTGTGGCTTGAAGCGCTTTTCCCACCTCAGCCTCCCAAGCAGCTGGGATTACAAGTTTGCACCACCATGCCTGGCTCAGCACCGTAATTTTAAATTAGTCAAATTAAATAGTCAA